ACACACTGAAGGATTAATCTCTCTGCCTTATTCTGTACTAGTTGAAGCTTCCTTAAATATGTTTCCCTATAATATCTGACAGCAATAAAGCTGAGACAAAAACAGAGTATAGTATTATTCCCATTATATCAAAGCTTCAATATTGTCTACAGCTCCATAACACTGCTAACCTCTGTGTGTGTGTGTGTGTGTGTGTGTGTGTGTGTGTGTGTGTGTGTGTGTGTGTGTCTAGAATACATTTATGAAATTCAGAAAGATGATGAATAGAGCCTTACCTGATATTCTGGTGTCGGGATGTTTTTACTGAAGGTCAAAGGTCATGAGGAGGGCGGACTTTCGCTTGTGTCTGCACTTCCTGTGAGGGATCCTGCTGTTTCCATCAGATTGTGCTTCCTGCACAGGTAAATCAAGCATGAAAAACTCCAGCACATCCATCTGTCCTTCACACACACACACACACACGCACACACACACACACACACACACACACACGCACACACACACGCACACACACACGCACACACACACGCACACACACACACTTAAACTCTGGAGATTCACATTGCACTCACATTTTGTTGGCATAAGAGCAATTCCAGCACTATGGACGTGACATTTGCAGTAAAATCTCAATTCACTGAAAAAGTGACTGGCCACTTTATTAGGTACACCTTCACTAGTATCAGGTCGGACCCCCCTTCACCGTCAGAACTGCCATAATCCTTCAGATTCAGCAAGCTGCTGGAAATATTCCTCAGAGATTTTGCTCCATGTTGACATGATAGCATCACACAGTTGCTGCAACGTTTCTCCAATCTTCTATTGTCCAGTTTTGGTGAGTCTGTGTGAATTGTAGCCTCAGTTTCCTGTTCTTAGCTGACAGGAGCGGCACCCGGTGTGCTCTTCTGCTGCTGTAGCCCACCCGCCTCAAGGTTGGACGTGTTGTGTGTTCAGAGATGCTCTTCTGCAGAGCTCGGTTGTAACGAGTGCTTATCAGAGTCAGCTGGAACCAGTCTGGCCATTCTCCTCTGACCTCTGGCCTCATCAACAAGGCATTTGCGCCCACAGAACTGCCGCTCACTGGATATTTCCTCTTTGTCGGAGCATTCTCTGTAAACCCTAGAGATGGTTGTGCGTGAAAATCCCAGTAGATCAGCAGTTTCTGAAATACTCAGAGCAGCCCGTCTGGCAGCAACAACCATGCCACGATCAAAGTCTCTTAAATCCCCTTTCTTCCCCATTCTGATGCTCGCTCTGAACTGCAGCAGATCCTCTTGACCATGTCTGTTTCTTAATTCCATGAGTCAGGTCACCTCAGAAGAACGAACTCAGGAGACCGCGAGAACACCGAATGCTTTCTCTGAGAAATGAGATGCTGTGTTCCTCCTGATGGTCACATGACGTTCACGCGTGCTTAATGGAAAATTATTTAAACATTACAGCATTCATACAACGATTTATTGTGTTTCTAGTTATACTGTGCATATAGAGCAAACAGATACTCTGCACAATACAAATAAAACAGATTTTTTAGGAATTTCCGCAAACAAACATCCTGAATGTGTTCATTCCTTTATTAAGATGTTTATGGTAATGTTTTCATTCATCATTTCATTTAGGGAAACTCCTGAGGTAAAAAAGTTACATCTCTGAACTTTAATAAAATGCTGCGCTTCCTACCTCCAGTCGCAATGACTTCCGGGATCTCTAGAGCGGGTTCGGTACTCAAGTCTGCATCGGTGTGTCCCAGATACCAAGAACACATCCGGAAGTATCACACAACCTCTGTTCTTGTGGTCTTGAGCTTTGGAACTGAACTTTCGCAGTTGATGATGACGTTACACAAAAACACAAGATCAATGAAGAACACATATTGAGAAACAGACCATGGGCCTGTTTCAGAAAGGAAGTTAACTGAAAACTCAGAGTATTTTAACCCTGAAATGAGAGAAACTCTGGGTTTTCCGTTTCAAAACGGCAGGTTTGTTAAACTCGAGAAAGCAGGGTAAGTCAAGCCTGTTTCTGAAAGAAAGGTAACTTTAACTCAGAGTCAGTTACTGTGGTAACTTACTCTGTGAATCTAACCAGGTCAGAAGCAGGTTTTATTCTCTAAACTCAGAGTTTCTGTCTGTCTCCTCCCCTTTTTTAAAGATGAAGCGGCATTTCTCGCCTTAGCCTTACGTTTCCACCCACCTATTTTTATGCTCATTTTGGATATGTGCATAAAAACGATTGATAGAAATGTCATGATGCACATAACTTTTTTAAATATGCATAAAAAACACGCATAACTCAGTAGGATAAACTTTTATTCGATAGAAAATGTGCGCATAAACTACGATGGAAACACTTTTACTAAACAAATTACAGTATGTACATTAAAAAAAAGATCATGATCATATGATAATGAAAATGTGTGTGAATGGACAAACCAGCAAGCTGAGCACGCTGTAACACGTCTTAAATATTGTTTTAGTCATTCTAAAATGCCTTAACTGTTTCAGTATTAGTGTATATTATTAATTACCTCCGAACGTCTGGTGCGTGTCAAGAGTCTCTGCGTCTCATGGCTTCAGACGCCCCCACGTGTTCATTGTGTTTCAGCATTGTCTTCTGACATCGAGGCGCAAGTACATTAATTAGGCTAAATAAAGAATTAATTGACGCAGCTTCTTCTACCACAGTAAATTCTGTTTTTACTGTTGATATTTGGTGCCAGTTTAATCAGTAAGTGACGATTTTTTTCTCTTTGACTCGTTGGATGGAATTTTATTCGCATCTTTTATGCAATATGCCAGTTTTGCACATAAATTTATGTAATATATTTGGATGGAAACATAGCTATTGCCTACATTTTAGTCACACACAGAAGAACTGTACTAGAATGGCTTATCCTTTTTAAATAAATAATTAAATTAAATTCACCTTCGACATGCACTGTAACTAGATTAATGGGATTATTATTCTTTCTAAAAATTATTTTTAGTACTGCTTACCTTCTAAATGTTATATTAACCTCTATCACTTGATCATTAAAAAAGGCAGACACACAAGTGCACTGTTAAATCATTTAAAACTAATAAATGTATAAAAAAGTTTAGAAAAAAAAATATAAACGTCACAAATTACATTACTTATTTTATTATACTTAAATATTTAAATACTTAAAAAGTGAAATTAGGCATTAACTTGAGCAGCTGTTTTCCCACGCTAACTGTCTCTTCTTCACTGATGGTTGTTTCTTTTCAAATATATACACACACATTCATATTTGCTATAACTTTGCATGAGAACATCAAGTTCAGCTGGAGAAAGAAATGGTGATCTCTTTTATAAGATATTGCCATAGTCACTCGTAATGTCTACGCTCCATTGATAATGCCTTTTTAAAGTCACGGTGTGCGCGCTTAACTCTGAGTTGGTCTACTCGAAGTTGATTGACCCAACTCAGATCAGCTGTTCTGAAACCGAAAACTCTGAGTTTTTAATCTCTCGGTAAATCAACTCAGAGTTCAAATTTAAACTCTGAGTTGTTTGAACCTCCTTACTGAAACAGGCCCCATGTCTCCATGCCTAAATGCATTGAGTTGCTGCCATGTGATTGGCTAATTAAAAATTTACTTTAATAACAGGTGTACTTGTAATAAAGTGGCTGGTGAGTGTACAGTATATGTTAATATTATACTGAAAGATTTGTTTCTATTTTCCAAAGCAATCAACCACAGAGTAATGGGATCAGAAACATATCACTCTGTAAACATATTTTTTAGGGATGCACAGATGGCCGATATCAAGAACCGATTTAAAGCAAAATACACAATGACACTCAATCAAACACATCTACAATGAAAAGGAACATGGTAACCTTTTGAGTTATTAACGCACAGCAATACCACATTAAGAAAGGACAGACTTTGAAGGATTAACAGTGTGAGGAGAGCTCCATTATAGTGCACTGGGCAAGTCTAAACATGTTCCGGCCACGGATGCGCGAGGCAGACAGTTCTGTACAGTTACCTAATTTATCAGTTTAAAGATTTCGTCCTAATCTAGACATCGGATCGATAACAATAATCTAAAAAAATTGCATTTATCGGCCGATAACAATCTGGCCGCCGATATATCGTGCATCCCTACATATTTTATATTTTAAAGAGCACCTATGATGAAAGTCAACTCCTGTAAGCAGTTTGGGCAGAACTGTGTAGATATAGTGTGTACACAGTCATACTGGAGGGATAAAACCAAAACAACTCTCCTTTTTAAAATATCCAGACATTAAGATAGGATACAAATCCCTCCCATTTTAATGCCCAATGCAAGGTGACGTAAGAGTGTGGCTTTCCCGCCCACCAAATTGATTGGCAGCTGCAAATTAACATGTCTCCATAAATAATCATAACAGTGTTAATAATCTCTAATAACTGATTTCTTTTCTCTTTGTCATGATGACAGTAAATAATATTAGACTAGATATTCTTCAAGACACTTCTATACAGCTTAAAGTGACATGTAAAGGCTTCACTAGGGTAATTAGGGTAAAGTTAGGGTCATTAGGCAAGTCATTGTATAACAGTGGTTTGTTTTGGAGACAATCCAACACTAATATTGCTGAAGGGGCCAATAATATTGAGCTTAAAATGACTTTAAAACAATTAAAAACTTTTATTCTAAGCTTTTTAAGCTTATTTTAAGCTTTTATTCTATCCAAAATAAAACAAATAAAGCTTTCTCCAGAAGAACAAATATTATCAGACATACTGTGAACATTTCCTGAATCTGCTTAACATCATTTGGGAAATATTTAAAAAAGAAAACGAAACTCACAAGAGCGCTAATAACATTGCCTTCAGCTGTACATGTTTAATTTCTGGAATATTAATGTTTGCATAAGGACGCGCTCATCATTATAGGCGCCA